TATGTCAATACTTAACTGTTTGTAAATATAGATTGGGTAATTGCAGAACGTCCGAATACCGACTAAATTAGGTCATCGACGCAAACAAAATTTGCTCTTGTAAAGTGTTAAATATGAATATAGAGTGGTATATGAGAGTGCTGTTTTGGTCGACATAGTCTCGGAGTTTTGCCAATTAAGAGACCGAGAACCGAATCGAACCGCAATTGGGACCACATTGACCTGGCTTTTTGTCGATTCGAGCGCGACGCAACATTGACCGTCACGTAATTAATTGAATTGGGAATTTGACGGGTTCTGGCGCCGGCTCCGAGCTTTTGACCAACAACGGTTTTCCTTTCATTCGAAACCCCACAAAAGATTTCTTGCAAAATCAATATTTCGAGATTGAAATAAAAATTGTTATAATGCTAAAAGAAGGTTAATCAAAAAATAAACGAATCAAATTTATCTAAGATTCTAAAGAGATTGTTGTTAAATGTCGTTCGTAAATCGGTGTGATTTTATCAAATTAAAAGGTCACATCGTTTATGTAAGTTTAAAAGGTAGGGAATAAGATTGCAAAAAAACGAACTTTAAAGAATTTTCCATGTTTTCAACAGAGCTAACCCTGTCCTAATTTAAATTGAATTGACAAACTCAAAGTGTCACCCATAAATCTTCGAGCATTCGGTTTTAGTAAATAGAACACAACGTGATATAAAAATTTTTGGCATTCCGAATGGACAACAACTAATTTCGCTCGGCATTCAAAACAGCAAACCGAACAAGCCGTATGGTTTATGAACGCGAGCAGTCTTACCACTTGTTTCTATTCAAAACCGAGCACGATGACGTTCGCAGGTATTACGAAAACGAAAATGTACGCGTTCCAAATTTCTAATTGGAAACGCGAAGACCAAAGGAATTTTGAATTAGTCATAAATTTTTTTTTGTATAAACCGGGCCAAAATATAAAAATACTTTAAACTTCTCAAAATAATTACATATTTTGCAATAAAAAAGAACATTATTTCAAAGAATAAACTTCCTTATTTCTCTTCTAACCAATTGATGATGATCATTAAAAAGTTTGTAGGCGCCAAGTAAACTTGAACAAAACCTAAGTTGGTTAATTAACAGAACGAAATTGCGATTTAATCCTCTTTGACGACGCGACGTTTGGCAAATCCTTGTTAGTTTCAAAGGCACAGTAACGGTACCTAACGGAATTTCTCTCTTTCTCGTCTAACTAATTAACGCGGAATTAATCGCATCGGGAAGCAAGGAATTCCCTCGTTCCCGAAGACTACGACGATCTCACTATTCGGATTATATACCAGCTGGATATCTTCACGCTCCATTTAATACTAATGAAAGGCACGTGACCAACGCTCCACGTTTTTAACAAAACCACGATTATTTGCGCGATCTCCAACGGAAGAATGCATCGAGATCTGGTGAGGTTTTAAGTGTTAATAATGCTTCAAGGATTTTATCTATAATTAGAATGAAAAGAAGATCAAAAACTATGTAGAAAATTTTATTGGAATTTGTTTTGGTTTCAAAAGAAGAAAGGGTTATAAAATAAAGTTACAAAGATTAAAATAGATGCGTAAAATTTATTTTGATGTTAAATAAAATCCGTGATACATCTCAAAATCTGTACAGATATTACTTTTTTCCATTATCTCAACTGATATAATTTACAAAAATAAAAAACGCAAACTATTTTTTTTTTTGCTGGCACAAAATAAAACTGACTCAAAGAGAAACGAATTTTTTAGTAAGTTTCAAAATTAGATCAAAACGTTCCAGTTACCCCCCACGAATAACACATAAATCGAACGATGCAGTAAAAGTTTACTTTATAACCACTGTTAACATATTTATGTTGACAAAAATTTTAAAATTTTATGATTCCCTTGAACCATATCAAAAGCTTCATTTGAAATATATTTTGTTTTAATGAAAATTGCGGATTTAAATATTTTTAATAAATATTTCCTACAAAAAAATTAATAATACATTTATATTTTCAAGAACAGGAATCTTTTATGGTCAAATAAGTAGTTAAGTGTCAAAGTGAAATATTATGGTTATAAATTCTGATTGCCACATTATTGCGATATTTGAATAAAAATGAAATTAATAAGAAAGCTGAAAAGATATGTCAACTTATTTGGATCCAAGATACAAAATAAACTATTTTGATGCTGATTTAACTAACGAAGCAACTCTAAAAAGAGGATACTATAGTTAATAATTGGTAATATTTCCACAAGCATCCTTAAAGAAGTCAATTTTATAGCGAATTTTGACTTTATTTTTCAAAACGGGTTGGTTCATTGGAAAGAAGACACTTTTATTAACACTTTGGGAAATTTTCATACTCATATTCCAAGAAATAAATTTTATACGAATTTTTAAAACTTAATCGGTGAAAATTGCAAAATTCGAAAAAATTTTCGATTATTTCAAAAATTTATTTCTCAAAAACTAAAAGAGATTTTTCAAAACGGCTTGTTGCATTAAAAAGAGGATACTATAATTAATAATTGGTGATATTTTCACAAGCATCCTTCAAGAAATTAATTTTATAGCGAATTTTGACAGTTATCGATGAAAATTGCAACATCGAAAATGTTATTAAAACTTCAAATATTGCTTTCTCAAAAACTAAAAGTTATTGTTCAAAACGGGTTGGTTCATTGGAAAGAAGACACTTTTATTAACACTTTAGAAAATTTTTAAACTCATATTCCAAGAAATGGATTTTATACGAATTTTTAAAACTTAATCGGCGAATATTGCAAAATTCGAAAAAATTATCGATCATTTCAAAAATTTATTTCTCAAGAACTAAAAGTGATTTTTCAAAACGGCTTTTTGCATTAAAAAGAGGATACTTTAATTAATAATTGGTGATATTTCCACAAGGATCCTTCAAGAAATTAATTTTATAGCGAATTTTGACAAGTTATCGATGAAAATTGCAACATCGAAAATTTTATCAAACTTCAAATATTGTTTTCTCAAAAACTAAAAGTTATTGTTCAAAACGGGTTGATTCATTGGAAAGAAGACACTTTTATTAACACTTTGGGAAATTTTCATACTCATATTCCAAGAAATAAATTTTATACGAATTTTTAAAACTTAATCGGTGAAAATTGCAAAATTCGAAATAATTTTCGATTATTTCAAAAATTTATTTCTCAAGAACTAAAAGTGATTTTCCAAAACGGCTTTCTGCATTAAAAAGAGGATACTTTAATTGATAGTTGGTAATATTTCCACAAGTATCCTTCGAGAAATGAATTTTATAGCGAATTTTGAAAATTATCGATGAAAATTGCAACAGCGAAAATTTTATCGAAACTTGAAATATTGTTTTCTCAAAAACTAAAAATTATTTTTCAAAACGGGTTGGTTCATTGGAAAGAGGACACTTTTATTAACATTTTGAGAAATTTTCATACTCCTATTCCAAAAAATCGATTTTATACGAATTTTTAAAACTTAATCGGTGAAAATTGCAAAATTCGAAAAAATTTTCGATTATTTCAAAAATTTATTTCTCAAGAACTAAAAGTGATTTTCCAAAACGGCTTTTTGCATTAAAAACAGGATACTTTAATTAACAATTGGTGATATTTCCACAAGGATCCTTCAAGAAATTAATTTTATAGCGAATTTTGACAATTATCGATGAAAATGGCAACATCGAAAATTTTATCAAAGCTTCAAATACTGTTTTCTCAAAAACTAAAATTAAAACGGGTTGGCTCATTAAAAAGAGGACACTTTTATTAACACTTTGGGATATTTTCATACTCATATTCCAAGNAAAACTTCAAATATTATTTTCTCAAAAACTAAAAGTTATTGTTCAAAACGGGTTAGTTCATTGGAAAGAAGACACTTTTTTTAACACTTTGGAAAATTTTTAAACTCATATTCCAAGAAATGGATTTTATACGAATTTTTAAAACTTAATCGGCGAAAATTGCAAGATTCGAAATAATTTTCGATCATTTCAAAATTTTATTTCTCAAAAACTAAAAACAATTTTTGAAAACTGCTTTTTGCATTAAAAAGAGCATACTTTAATTGATAATAGAAAGTGATAACAGTAATAGTTCTGTTCGTAATGAATGTGATGATGAATTAAAAGCAAAGAGAAGAAAACTAGACAAAACTGCAACAAGAAATTTTATATATCGTATTGGGATTGTTACAATGAGGTTGCTAATGGCAAACCTAATATAAATAAAGTTGTACTCACTGAAAAATGTCTTGTTGGGGTTGAACTTGATTATTATCTGCAGTGTCCAACACCTAAAAGAGATACTAATTCTAAAGATAGCACTAAAGATGGCCATTACTTGAGACTGTTCCAAGAAAACATTTTTGTCATATATTCTATTTTATGAAAATGTTCTATCTGACTATGTTTTGCATCTGCTGACAGTTTGGATTTTACCAATCCAACATCCTTTTTGTGTTTTTTATACAACATTTGAAGTTCGGTCTTTGTCCTACATTGAACTCCGTCAAAATCGACAATTTGTAGACTCCTCACCCTTTTGTCTAAGCACCTGTAATAAATAGAGGAACTTAACCCAAGCAACCATTCCGTTGGAAGTTTCCTTTTGGAAGTTGTTGAAGGACAGAAACTTTTAGACCAATATTGCAAATGCCTAATTACCTCTTTCCCTACCTGTTTGATTGCGATATCTTTAGTTGTTTTCTTTAATATTGAGATTATTAATATTTTGTATTAACACTTAAATAAATCTTAGCAACGATAAAAAAAATGATCTTGTGATTATTTTTTTAACTCCCCTTCTATTTCTTTTAAAAATTAGGGGGAACGTTAGAACTATGATTCGTTGTAGCTTCGTTTCGTTTCGTTTGTGATAGAGGAAAGTTAACTCTGTTCACATTTGTTGGTCGTCGTCGTCGGCAAAAGGTGGACGGTCGGATCCAGAGAATCAACACCACGGCACAGTGTGAGTTCATTCGTATATTCGACATTCTGACGTCGGGGTCCCCCGATAACAGTTTTTTGGCGTGCGTTTTTGTGCCGTCCAACGCCAAATTCTTTTAATAGCGTTGCCGTCGTCGCCGATGAGTGCATCTTCTTCAGCGGGTTCACTTTTTTATTTTATTTTCCCATTTACTTTTTCATTTTTTGAAACGGACAATTCGCGTTGCGACGATTGCGCGAAAACTTCACTCCACATTAATAAGCGCGTATATAAAGTCTTTTGGCGGTGTTTTGAATTGACTTCGAATTGAATCTTCTTCGTGTTGTTGCGGCCAACTCAAAAATAAAAAAAGAAATTCTACGAAAGAAAATAAACATTTATTTTAAATGTGAGTACTTTTTTTTTAATTTAATGATTCATATCTAAATAATCAATTTATCTAATGGGTTTATTTAATTTTTTTTTTGATACCAAATACTAATCAGATGTTTTTGATAACTTTCTACATAAGAAGGTTTTTATGCTTCATTTATTTTTTTTGTTATAACACTCATTTTTCGTACTTTGACGTAGCTAATAAAATGTGAAATGATTGATTACTTAATAAAAATAAGATAATGGTTATAAATAATTTTATTATGGATTATGTTCTTCAATAATTTTATTATTTCCTTAAGTAATTACCACTTTTTTTGGCACACCATTTTATTGACCAATACAATTTATTTTATCGCATTTTATTATTTACAATCTCACCACTGATATTGTTTATTTTAATACTTTGTAAGTTATACCAAAGGGAACCTGTTTCAGAATCGATACATGTTATCTTCAAAAATATTTATACAACGCTGAGTTACGGACAATGAATGAAATCTTTTATAAATAATCTTCTATTTTCCATTTGTTTTGATTATCGTCAAAAAAACAAATTTAACCTTGAAGGTTGAACATTTATTTTTAGGAATATTAACTAACATTATAAAAATTTCTTACTTGGGATCCATTGTGCTTATCGTATATTCTTCGCCAGTATCTTATAAGTAAATACAAGTCCCAAGATACGAAACGCATACACCGTGTTTGTTTAGTGGGTCGATAAGAATGTGCCAGCATCGCATTGTGTACAAATTTTTTTTTCGGTGGAATGCGACTCGTATCAAAATCCAAGCATTAAATTGTAACAAAAAATTATGTCAGCAATTTTACTTTTATTTTTATTATTGTTGATACTAGAATATATACAAATCTAGTTTATGATATGACATAAAAAGTATAAGACAATATTATTGAAAGAAGAAATTGCCAAATTTATAAATTAAAAAATACAAAATTTGCAATAAATCATATCTACTGCATTTTTAAGAATCACAATATGATATGTATGTTAAATTGAAGCTTAAAGATTCTAATTTATGATATGATATAAAAACTCTCAGATAATATTATTGAAATTTCCAGGAAAAAATTGTTAAAGATGAAATTGCCAAATTTATAAATTAAAAAATACAAAATTTGGAATAAATCATATCTACTGTATTTTTAAGGATTATAATATGATATGTATGTTAAATTGAAGCTAAAGGAGTCTAGTTTATGATATGATATAAAAACTATCACATAATGTTATTGAAATTTCCAGGAAAAAATTGTTAAAGAAGAAGTTGTCAAATCTATAAACCAAAATTAATACGAAATTTTGACAGAATCATATTGACTGTATCTTTAAGAATCATGATATGATATATATGTGAAATTGAAGCTAAAAGAGTCTAGTTTATGATATGATATAAAAACTATAAGAGAATATTATTGAAATTTCCAGAAAAAAATTGTTAAAGAAGAAATTGCCAAATTTATAAATTAAAAAATACAAAATTTGCAATAAATCATATCTACTGTATTTTTAAGAATCATAATATGATATGTATGTTAAATTGAAGCTTAATGATTCTAGTTTATGATATGATATAAAAACTATACGATAATATTATTGAAATTTCCAGAAAAAAATTGTTAAAGAAGAAATTGCCAAATTTATAAATTAAAAAATACAAAATTTGCAATAAATCATATCTACTGTATTTTTAAGAATTATGATATGATATGTATGTTAAATTGAAGCTAAAAGAGTCTAGTTTATGATATGATATAAAAACTATAACACAATATTATTGAAATTTCCAGAAAAAAATTGTTAAAGAAGAAATTGCCAAATTTATAAATTAAAAAATACAAAATTTGCAATAAATCATATCTACTGTATTTTTAAGAATTATGATATGATATGTATGTTAAATTGAAGCTAAAAGAGTCTAGTTTATGATATGATATAAAAACTATAAGACAATATTATTGAAATTTCCAGAAAAAAATTGTTAAAGAAGAAATTGCCAAATTTATAAATTAAAAAATACAAAATTTGCAATAAATCATATCTACTGTATTTTTAAGAATTATGATATGATATGTATGTTAAATTGAAGCTAAAAGAGTCTAGTTTATGATATGATATAAAAACTATAAGACAATATTATTAAAATTTCCAGAAAAAAATTGTTAAAGAAGAAATTGCCAAATTTATAAATTAAAAAATACAAAATTTGCAATAAATCATATCTACTGTATTTTTAAGAATTATGATATGATATGTATGTTAAATTGAAGCTAAAAGAGTCTAGTTTATGATATGATATAAAAACTATAAGACAATATTATTGAAATTTCCAGAAAAAAATTGTTAAAGAAGAAATTGCCAAATTTATAAATTAAAAAATACAAAATTTGCAATAAATCATATCTACTGTATTTTTAAGAATTATGATATGATATGTATGTTAAATTGAAACTAAAAGAGTCTAGTTTATGATATGATATAAAAACTATAAGAGAATATTATTGAAATTTCCAGAAAAAAATTGGTAAAGAAGAAATTGCCAAATTTATAAATACAAAATTTGTAATAAATCATATCTACTGTATTTTTAAGAATCATAATATGATATGTATGTTAAATTTAAGCTTAAAGATTCTAGTTTATGATATGATATAAAAACTATCACATAATATTATTGAAATTTCCAGGAAGAAATTGTTAAAGAAGAAATTGCCAAATTTATAAATTAAAAAATACAAAATTTGCAATAAATCATATCTACTGTATTTTTAAGAATTATGATATGATATGTATGTTAAATTGAAGCTTAAGGAGTCTGGTTTACGATATGATATAAAAACTATCACATAATCTTATTGAAATTTCCAGGAAAAAATTGTTAAAGAAGAAATTACCAAATTTATAACTTAAAAACTACAAAATTTGCAATAAATCATATCTACTGTGTTTTTAAGAATTATGATATGATATGTATGTTAAATTGAAGTTAAAAGAGTCTAGTTTATGATATGATATAAAAACTATCACATAATGTTATTGAAATTTCCAGAAAAAAATTGTTAAAGAAGAAATTGCCAAATCTATAAACCAAAATTAATACGAAATTTTGACAGAATCATATTGACTGTATCTTTAAAAATCATGATATGATGTATGTTAAATTGAAGGTAAAAGAGTCTAGTTTTTGATATTATATAAAAACTATAACACAATATTATTGAAATTTCCAGAAAAAAATTGGTAAAGAAGAAATTGCCAAATTTATAAATACAAAATTTGCAATAAATCATTTCTACTGTATTTTTAAGAATCATAATATGATATGTATGTTAAATTAAAGCTTAAAGATTCTAGTTTATGGTATGATATAAAAACTATCAGATAATATTATTGAAATTTCCAGGAAAAAATTGTTAAAGAAGAAATTGCCAAATTTATAAATTAAAAAATACAAAATTTGCAATAAATCATATCTACTGTATTTTTAAGAATTATGATATGATATGTATGTTAAATTGAAGCTAAAAGAGTCTAGTTTATGATATGATATAAAAACTATCACATAATGTTATTGAAATTTACAGGAAAAAATTGTTAAAGAAGAAGCTGTCAAATCTATAAACCAAAATTAATACGAAATTTTGACAGAATCATATTGACTGTATCTTTAAAAATCATGATATGATGTATGTTAAATTGAAGGTAAAAGAGTCTAGTTTTTGATATTATATAAAAACTATAACACAATATTATTGAAATTTCCAGGAAAAAATTGCTAAATTTATAAATTAATAAATACAAAATTTGCAATAAATCATATCTACTGTATTTTTAAGAATCATAATATGATATGTATATTAAATTGAAGCTAAAAGAGTCTAGTTTATGATATGATATAAAAACTATCAGATAATATTATTGAAATTTCCAGAAAGAAATTGTTAAAGAAGAAATTGCCAAATTTATAAATACAAAATTTGCAATAAATCATATCTACTGTATTTTTAAGAATTATAATATGATATATATGTCAAATTTAAGCTGAAAGATTCTAGTTTATGATATGATATAAGAACTATCACATAATATTATTGAAATTTCCAGGAAAAAATTGCTAAGTTTATAAATTAATAAATACAAAATTTGCAATAAATCATATCTACTGTATTTTTAAGAATCATAATATGATATGTATATTAAATTGAAGCTAAAAGAGTCTAGTTTATGATATGATATAAAAACTATCAGATAATATTATTGAAATTTCCAGAAAAAAATTGTTAAAGAAGAAATTGTCAAATTTATAAACTAAAAAATAGTACAAAATTTTCAATAAATCATATTCACTGTATTTTTAAGAATCATGATATGATATGTATGTTAAATTGAAGCTTAAAGACTCTAGTATATGATATGATATAAAAACTATCAGATAATATTATTGAAATTTCCAGAAAAAAATTGTGAAAGAAGAAATTGTCAAATTTATAAATTAAAAAATAGTACCAAATTTTCAATAAATCATATTCACTGTATTTTTAAGAATCATGATATGATATGTATGTTAAATTGAAGGTAAGCTGAAATTTCCACAAAAAAATTGTTAAAGAAGAGATTGCCAAATTTATAAATTAAAAAATTACAAAATTTGCAATAAATCATAACTGCTGTATTTTTAAGAAGCATAACATGCTATGAATATTAAATTGAAGCTTAAAGATTCTAGTTTATGATATTATATAAAAACTATAACACAATATTATTGAAATTTCCAGAAAAAATTGTTAAAGCAAAAATGGCCAAATTTATAAGTTAATAAACACAAAATTTGCAATAAATCATATCTACTGTATTTTTATGAATTATGATATGTATGTTAAATTGAAGGTTAAAGAGTCTAGTTTATGATATGATATAAAAACTATAAGACAATATCATTGAAATTTCCAGAAAAAAATTTTTTAAGAAGAAATTGCCAAATTTATATAAAT